AGTTGCAGCCAGGCGGTCGAGGTTCTGCCTTCGCCTCTCTTACTGCAGGAGGAGAGACGAAGATCTCAGCTCCAAAGGAACCACACAGCACCTAGGTTCAGTTCCTCCTACTCACCAGTCTGCTCTGGGTGGACGTCTGGGGAGGACGCCGAGTCAGAGGACGAACTCTGGTTCGCCCCGATACACCACCCACATCGCCGCCAAAAGGGAAAGAGAAGACGCAACCGGAACCGGTCCGCTGCTCTTCCGCCCACATCACCTGTATTTCCAGCTCCTCGCATTCAGCCTGGCGAGGCTGAGTTTTTTGGTTCCGCCCCCTCCTGGTCCCAGCCTCCAGCTTGCTCTCCTCAGCCAGAACCTGCGAAACAGGGGAGAATTTCGCAGGGGGGGGAGCAGTCATCCCCCGATTCGTCTGTGGAGTGGACGAAGGGGGGCCAGCCCGGGGAGCGTGTTGGGCAATCGCTTCCTGCTCCTATTGAGGATAACCAAATCCCTGAGCTGCCTTCTGTAGAGGACCAGGTGGCTCATCCTCTCATCAAAGGCTCTATAATGATTCTCAGAATAACTCCAAGAGACAGAGTTACAAATAGAAGACGCCTGATGGACCAACTCTTAGATATATTCCTCTCACAGCCTGACCTGCTCAGCACATCGGTTCATCAGGTGATCTTTCAATTTGCCATGAAATTAAGAGCTGAACTCGATCCCGTTTTTTTCTCGTCACACACTGAAGAGCCTGCAGCCAGCCCAGAGCCTGCAGCCAGCCCAGAGCCTGCAGCCAGCCCAGAGACTGCAGCAGCCAGACCAGAACCTGCTGCAGTACCAGAACCCGTAGCAGCCAGCCCAAACCAAGATCCAGCCCCAGACAATCCAGTCGCAGAAGAGTTCCTCACAGCTGCAGCCCCTGTGGTCGCTCCCATGCCTACTACAGTCCCTGTAGTTTTTCCATCTCCTACAGCCTCTGTATCATCCACGCTATGTGAGGACACAACCTGTCCTGAGCCCATAGACCCAGACGCATCTTCTCCTGATCACGTTGCTGCACACAGCCCCCGTGGTGGATCCCTTACTGCTCCTGCCTGCTCAGCTGTGGGAGTCCAGGTGGACTCTGCTCCTGCCTGCTCAGCCGTGGGAGT